AGGATATAACCAACGGCAAATAAAACAGTAGTACAACCGGGTACTCCTCACAAATTTGAACTCCCGCCAATCACGAATAGCCATCTTCACTGTAGAAGCTTAGAAGTCCATACTCCTTCAAATAACAAAAGGTTGTGTGACCTCCCCAATCACCATAAGATGTAAAGTGGTTAATTGGTTCGAGTCTCTGAGATCTCAAACTTGTCCAAAGTGCAAATTTGTCACCATCAATTCTTGAAGCTGCCATGATCAGTTTCCAAACCATCCCAGTGTAAAGAGGCCATATTTAGAATTGATGCTGCCATGATCAGTTTCCAAACCATCCCAGTGTAAAGAGGCCATATTCCAAACACTTGAAGCTTTCGGACATTTAAAGAAAACTAGTAAAGTGCACGTGCATCGCACGTGGTGGCAAATGTTTTTTGCGATTAAGTTTAGTAAAATTAATTAACTAATTTATTAAACATTTCATTGTGGGAACAAAATAAAATATAGAACAAAATGTATTTTTTTTTTTCAAAAATAACATAACGATGTGCTAATATAAAAAGAATAAAATAACATATCACAACCCCAACAAAAATACATGAAAAATGAGTCCATAATTTTTTTTTAAAAAAAAAATACTAAATAACAAAATAAAAACATAATGTATATTATAATCCATTAGTTCTGTTATTTATTTTATGTTTGATGATTCAAGAGTGATTTTCTTTCATTTTAGTTTTGACGTTCTCATAAAAAACATTTATACACATTCAAGTTCTATACATCAATAGGCCAATTCTTAGGCAAAAATTCTAAATTTATTCAAACAATGCAAAATATTTTGTCCAAACATATAGTCAAACTCTATGATTATGATCTTTATAAGGTATTGCTAATAACAATTAATGAATATCTCTGTGAAATATGGGCATTGCTAATAACAATTAATGAATATCTCTGTGAAATATGGGCAGATCCACTTTTTTTAATATGGTCGACACATGGCCACTTTCCAAAACATATAGCATAATATATCTAACAAAAATTGTGGGAAAATTTTTCATAGTTTTGTTCATACCGCCTATTCAGAAAATAAATTTAAAAGAAAAAAGATAAATAATGAATTAATTTGCGATTCAACCAATTATAAGTTAATTCAGTTCATAACTTTATTAAAGTTATAACATAAACACAGTATCACAACTAAAGAGAATATGATAAATCTAGAAATTACAATTTCACCCTTTTAATTTTTTTTTTAATCTTGATGATAGCTCCTATTCTCTCTTTTGCAACATATTACTTCTCTAACTTTTTTCAGGCATTTCTTAACTAATGTATGTGGAATTATAGTTATTGTTTGTAGTATTTTTGGGTAAGTGGTAACCGAGCTACCCGGACTCGGGTCGTTCTCAAAGGAAGGCTATTCGGACACGGATTCAAGCAACGATTGACTCACACGAAAGAAAAATAAAAAGTCCTAAACATTCTACTTGCATGATTTGGTGATTTGATTAAGCTTAGAGAAAGCAAGATTCGTAATTTAAAGCAAGCAACACCTCAAATTGCAAGGAAAAGAGAAAATAGAGAGAAAAAATAACAAGGTACTCTAGACCCGAGATGGAAAGAAGGCACTCATAGATTCGGGAACATGTAATCAAGCAATCGTCACTCGCAATCAACCAATCGATCTCTCAATTAATTCTCGCTCATGCAAATAAGCTAACGCAATCAATAACACAATCACATAATCCCTAGCCTACGAGGATGATAGCATAATCGACTCATGAAAGCTCCTACCTTTACCCTAGAATGAATTCAATAAGTAAAGACAAGACAAGACTCACGAGATCTTGGACCTTCAACTAAGTCTCCAATCGGACCTTAAACGAAGTCTCCAAGTCCCTAGTGCATCCACGAGAAGAAATAAGCCGGAAAGTTGCAATCTTGATGGAGAAATATTACAATAAAAATAGGGTCTTAGAGCCCTTAGAGAGAGAAAGAAAACTAGAGAGAAGGAGGAGAGAAAAACTAAAAGGAAAATTTTAGCAAATGAGGAATTGTTCTCAAAATACAAAGCATCAAGTCTATTTATAGCTACACCTCAAACACACACTAAAACACACACATTTAATGATAAAACTCGCGAGCTAAGGCTCACTCGCGAGTTTTGGCTTGGATTTCGCGAGCTGATTTCGCTGGCAGCAGGTGGACTCGCGGGCAAAAGCAATTTCGAGGGCTCGAAAAAAACAGAACTCGCGGGCAAACAACGTGAGGGAAGAACTCGCGAGGGAAGAGGATTTCGAGGGCTCGAACGCCAAAACTCGCGGGCAAACAGCATGAGGGAACTCGTGAATTTTGGCAGGTCGCGAGTCTGAATTCGCGGCTCGCGAATTTTATCCCGATGACCCCTTGATGCTCGATTTGCTCTAACTTCTCACCCGCTTCTCCGATTGACTCGAAATTTCGACCCACGCTCTTCAAATCTTTTTCTCCTCGTCTTGAGATGCGCAAATAGATGTCACCACGAAATTAATAAATATGCTCGGAAATAGTTCGCGTGGCTCGGACGGCTCGGGAAATGTCTCAGAAATGGCTCGTCTTCCCAAACACGAACAATTTGGACCTAGTCAACACCAAAAAGACAAGAAAAGTACGCCGAACCACAAAAACACAATACGAAAGTAAAAAATGCACGAAACACGATAAAATGGACCGGTCGACACTAAAACGAACCTAAAAACACTAAATTAAAGCACATAAAACACACGAAAATAAGCACAAAAACACAATAAACAGTTATATATTCATAATTTACAAATTCATCAATTATATTGTCGAGTCAACTACACCACAACATAAATTTTTTGTTCATACAAGTTTAAAAATATATTATTTTCAATGATTTTATTATGTTGAAGAAAAATTATGTGTTTCTTTATTAATTTATTTTAACTTGTCGTGACTGTATTGACATTAAAAATGTATTATAGGTGAGAAATATGACAAATTACTAAAAAAAATATGATAAATCTAGAAATTACGATTTCACCCTTTTATTTTTATTTTTTTAAATCTTGATGATAGCTTCTGTTCTCTCTTTTGCAACATATTTTTCTCTAGCTTTTTTCATGTCTTTCTTAATTAATGTATGTGAAATTATAGTTATATATTAATAATTTACAAATTCATCAATTATATTTTCGAGTCAACTATATCACAACATAAATTTTTTGTTCACAAAATTTTAAGAAATATATTTTTTTCAATGATTTTATTATGTTGAAGAAAAATTATGTTTTTTTGTTAATCTATTTTAACTGATCGTGAATGTATTGATGTATTAAAAATGTATCACATGTGAGAAATATGACAAATTATAAATTGTAAAAGCATAATGTTATTTTGATGGTATAATGCCCCCTCTGGTTGAAATATTGTCCGAGAAAATTTTCAATGAAAAATCACAAAACAATAAATAATAGTAATTGGAATAATTAAATCAATAAATTCTAATGTAATTTAACTTTATCTCTGTTGGAATAGCCAATGAAAATTTTCAATGAAAGTTATACTAATGAAATATCCGTTGGAATTTTCAGTGGAATACCTTACGGTTGTTTTTATTTATTTATTTTTTATTGTATTCATTCTTAAACATTAAATTCTTATATGGCATCTTTTGTTATTTATTAATTACCTTTACAATTTTCCTATTAATAATACATTAAACACGTGGCTTTTTAGTCCATGTAATAATTTTTTTAGAAACCACTCATTATTTTATCTCAAGATTACCTATTAATTTCTTAATTAATCAAGTTATATTTCTTACATATTGAATATTAAATAATGAAAATATTTAGTATTGTATAATGTAATATGATATTTGTATATTATATTTAAAAAACTAATAGCAAATAAAAAAGTAATTCTAACCTAAATGGATAAAAGTACAAATAACTATTGTCTGTCACCTAAACCTTACACATAGAATTAATAGTCACAAAAAATTAACAAATGTTTACAACTCAACTCGTTTATATGATAAATACAAGTTTTAAATGTTTTATATTTATTTTAATTAATTATAACACTTTTAATATTATTTATGAAATTTAATTTTTTTTTACTTTATATTCTTCTTTCATATGTTTATATATATAACATTTATATTTGTTAAAAAATCATAAAATAAATTATAGAACTTCTTGGCTATATATCAATTTCGTACATTTTTTGAAGAAAAACATTGCTTTATTATAATAATACAGATTGGATAGATGAATACTGGTAATATATCGATATAATTTCTTGGTATAAATTAATCTTCTTATAGGTTAATTTAAAAAATAATATTTCTATACATTGTGGCCGTTATGAGAACCAAAAATACCGATTTCAAGTTTTGTTCATAAAAAAATTCTAAAAAGTATATTGTTTTCAATGATTTTCTTACATTGAATTAAGAAAATAATGTTTTTTTTGTGATATTTTCTAACTTATATGTGTTAAAAATGTATTACAGATGAGAAATATGACAAACTATGAAAAGTATAATTTATAAATTGTAGTGCATTATATTATTTTGATGCTATACTTTTTCTACTAACTAAATAGTGCCCCCAATATGAAATTATTATATATCTACCACTGCAATTA